TTTATCTTTTCAGTAACTTGACATTAATACCTTTAATGTAGAAACCCCAAATTTGATGAATATTCTGATAAACTTTGACATTTAGCCCGATAAAACATTAAATGCAACACTATCAGCTTAATTTTAGTAGTTCACTCTTTCCTCAAATTTCTGCATAACAGTTATTGTAGTTTTTTTTTTAGAAGCTTAAAACTGTAAGATAACCGGAGATCAGGAAAAGAAGTTCGTTATGAACTGCAAAATTGGGTTAGAAGTTAAAAGTTCTAGAAGTATCCTAAATGATGATGTTATTCATAAATTGGGAGACGGGAGAAAAGTTGAGTGAAAATAGTATTTGTTCACACAAATAATATGTTGGAAAAGGTTTAAAAGGCCCGAGAACAGATAAGATATTACTAAATTAATTATACTAAGTATTATTTTATTACAAATTACAGTTTTTACAGTAAGTAAGATTTGTTTTCAGAACAGGTACGCTGGTGCGAAAATTCTCTGGTACACGAGTTTTGTATTTGTACTTAATCAGTAAGTAAACTCAAAACGAAACTGTTAATCATAGTAAAGTTCTTTTATCCATTTTATTGTACTGTTGAAGATTCTATTGTTATTATTTTAATAACAGATCATGGAGAGGATTAATGACACCTTATATTAATCATTTTTTAAATAATAATACAGTGGTGTGTCATCGCATGTGTGAGCTGTGTTGCCACGGGCGACATGGCGAGTTTCCAACCATTCGACAATGCGAGACTATTACAAATACATTTGTGGCTGGAGAAAACTATCACATTGATTTCAGTATAATGAGACAACTAAATAATGCACAGCCCAATGTTATAATGCTTCAAATAAGGGGAGCGTTCGTGTTTCCTAAGGAAGCCTCGCAAAGCAGACGTTTAGGACAGAAACGAACTCTGAAACCATACTCCTAAACCAATCCAGAGCAAAGCTCTTGAACGCAAGGATAAAGCTATGTTTGCGAAAGAGAAGCCTTCTACCTCAAACCATTGCATTAAAACTGGGAATGCCTTCTGGTACCCTTAACAAGATAATAAACAAAAATTTCGGAATGATAAAGGTAAAAAATTCACAGTTTTTCAGCCCATTTCAAAATAAATAACCGTCTTCACGAGAAATATGGTAGAATAAATTGAGATAACAACAATCCTGTTTGAGCACATGGCTTGTCAATTCCCCTAATACGTCTACATTGGATGGACTTTTGCATGTTCGATATGCTAAAACGTGGGCCTTGACACCAACGTCCACGTTCTGTTTATCGAGATGTGTGATCTACAAAACTGTCCTCACTTCCTGTGTAAAAACTTCTAACAATGAAAATTACGGTGTTGGGTGACATGGAATAATATTCTTATAAAGTTTGATTAACCCTCAATATTCTTCATTTTGTACAAAAAAGTTTCAGTTTTCTTATTGGAGCATAACGATCATCAGGTGACAGACAATGAAGTATTTATAAAGTCTATCAAATCAGTTTCAACACTTCATTCCATATCATCAAGTGAACTATTCATTAGATGAAATAATATCTCTAGAAAACTTATTCTGGACCAGAACAAGCCTAATAGAGAAAGGTTGTTCTGGCCCAGAACAAGCCTAAATCCGGGCTGATTGGTATAACTGTTCATCAGCAAAGTATATAATATTAATATCTCAACATTATCAATATTAATTTGACATTTCTAATTGGAGCTAAAAATATTATCTTATGTTTATTATTTTTTCTATATATTTACAGTGAGGATATATTACAAGAAAGTATAACTAATCATGATGATGGAAATCTAAGAAAGAAGAGAAAGTTGCCAGAATCAACTAAGACTTCTCTCAACAGTAATTTACTCAACGGTTTTGTATCAATTAAACAGGAGCCTAGTGAGTTTAATGCAGCTTTGATATTAACATACTGTTCGAAATGCTATTTTTAAGTTAGACATGATAACAAACCATGGTTATTCCGCTTATTACCATTCCTTTTTTAATTGTTTTATTCTCTGTAATTAACACTTCTTGATAATATTAAAAGTTTAGGAGAACCAGGTGTAGTTTGCACAAAAATTTTATATCGGTAAGTCTAGACCCAAAAGTCTCGGTAAGACGGCCCCCACACACAACCCATCTTTCAAGCATAATAAAAGTTGAACTGCGCCATCTGGTCGCTGGTTTGATATTTACCAAGCCGCTTATTTAAATGGCATATTTTCAGGAGATAATAGCTTACAATTACATATTTTTCTTCATATTTTACTTGTTATGTCATATTAACGGGTGAAATAATCCAGTAATTTCATACTGTTCACGTTTTACGGCATGGTGCAACCTGACCTTCACGTAGAGAGTAGCTGAGGTGGCAACGTATTTCAGACATTTTTTCTGCTCTACATAAAGCTAGTGTTTGACATTCCTCACGAGCAAGAAATACCAGTGATGCTAGGACAATGACCGAGTGTACAAGAACAGAAAAAGTTATTCCTTGCATCTGTTGATAACGATGTTAAAATTGAATTATCATGTTGTCTTTTGACAGACACTTTTCGTTGTTGTGGTGGATTGCTGAGAAAGTAAAGTGCCTGTGAAAATTCGGGAGATGTAATAAATAGTGGAAAGAATCAGTGAAAGTCCTGGTTTAAAACGAAGAAAACGTATTTCAATCGATAATTAGTATATTTATTAAACACTTAAACCCAAACTAGGAATAATGTTGCACACTTTGTGCATATAAATGCGAGCATATTATAAGTTTATATATGCAAAGGCCCCATACAGCAATCTATTGAACAGCTGCAATAAGCTGCTTTCTGTCAACTCTGCCGCTTGGAGCGCTGTAATTATTTTGTTTACACATTTCGAGCTAAGTGAACCGTCTTAGCAAAATAAGGCCTTTAATTTGACTACTACATCGAAAATGAGGAAATAAATTTAAAAACCTAGAACAATATTATTAAGATAATCTAAGCAAATTAGAAAACATTGAAAATTATATATTTTAAATTTTCATGTTTTTTGTGATAAATATTGTAAAAAATATCAATTTACATCAAGAATAAAAATTGCTTAATTTTTTATTCTTATATTAAGTTCTTGAAACTTTAAAATGAAACACATCTCTTTTTGCAATTTCCAGTACTACAAGAACTCCATCTTTAGGCATTGGAGAATTTAGATTCAGTGATGTATGGGATATGTGAAAACTAAGGACTCGAACACAATTTTTGTTATTGCGTTAGTCATAAGGCTTCAGATGTAGTTATAAGTGTTTATTTTTGATAATCTAACGAGTTTGATAGGCAACTTTTTTTCAGATATGAAACAGAATGAAAAAGGCAAATTGTTGATTCCCGACTTCCGGGACAATACGTAGATAATACTGCGTAATGTATTGTATTTCGAATGCATTCATTATTTATAGAAGTTGAAAAATCGCATTTCATTACAAACTGGCTTTTTTCCTAATCCTGCAGCAATGAATGTTCTTCTTCAACCTGAGAATGAGTATTCCATTGATTTTAATAAGACTGAGACAGGCGGGATGTTGTTGGACACAGATTACCAGTGTATACGATTTCAACCTTTCCAACAAGCTACATGGCATGTCATCTGTGATGCTTCTCTAAAAGAACTGTAAGTCACTCATCATATAGGGTAGTCATCTGTGATGCTTGGTTTAAAGAACTGTAAGTCACTCATCATATAAAGTAATCATCTGTGATGCTTGGTTTAAAGAACTGTAAATCACTCATCATATAGGGTAGTCATCTGTGATGCTTCTCTAAAAGAGCTGTAAGTCACTTATCATATAGGGCAGGCATCTGTAGTGTTAACTTCTGCATAAAAATCCATTAGGTTATTGTGATACTTGGTATAATAACTTGTATTCTAACGCATCAATTAAGTTATTGTACTGGTAATTCTCTCAAATTTTGATCTTAATTGTCGTTAGTTATTAGTACTTTTATATTTTTTTTTTATTAATCCACAGACTTGGTTAATAATGTACAATTTTGCATATTGGGAATAAACATTTATTACATGTTTTAAAAGTGAGGTATTTTTGTAATGTTATTTAAACTAATATATACCTAAAATTACAGATATATTATCAATATCTTGGTTTTATATAAGTACTAAAGATTATCCAAAACATTGTTGAAAGTAGCTACATTAAAACTAAAATATTTTGAGGAGATTAAATTTCTAAACATGAATTACATTTTTACAGTATTTATATTTTGTCTTTATGACAAAACTACTACTCTATGTACTGGCGTTCTTAATTCTGACCAGAGGGAAGACAGCCAGTCAGACACACTCTACCACCCACCATCTATGGTAAAGATTTGACTGTTACTCTTATAATGCACCCACAGCTTAAATTGGGGATGGGGGATATTTTTGTGGTATCACATGAATTCAAACCTGGTTCACCATCTCGAAAATCCAGAGTTCAAACATAGGGCCAAAACACATTCTTTTTTTTTTTACAGACTGCTTAATGCTGTTTTTTTTCTTCTTCTTCTTCTTTTATTTAGACCACCTTTCAACTGCAGAGTTGATGCCGACAAAGGGTTTAATTACAGTAACACAGATGACTGTTTCGTTTGTCAGAAGAAAAATCATTTTCAAGTTACAGTTCAAGTCCAACCAACTGGAGATCTTCAGTTTGTTAAAACCCCAGATGGCCTCAGAAAGATAGACAATTTTTGCGTACACTTCTACGGAGTAAAGGTAAAACAGTATATAGCCGCAGAAACCTTGAAATACCTTTTTAATTAAATATATAAATTTGCAATGCTTTAAAATAACATATCGTGCTTAAAATGCTTGATTAATTAACCTTTGTTTTTTACACCTGTTTCTATCAAATATCGAAAGGTTTTGTCGTTGTTGTTGTTTCAGCGTAAAGATGCACTATAGATTATATGTACTCTGTCCAGTGCAGAGTCTCGAACCCGTGATTTTAACGTTATGGAGCTTTTGACGAGCTTCAAAACGGTGAAGGAGCACTCGCGAGAACAAAATATGGTTTGTAGAATTAGAATCGAGGATAAAGAACGCTCGAGTTTGGATACACTCCTCTGAGCTCCTCCTTTACCATATTGGGTACATCTAATGAATTCTTTTCAATTTAAGAAGCTAGACGACTTTGAAACTTATCGAGTAAACGGCTTGTATTCATAAACCAGAAGTTCACAGTTGATTTCCCCATATATTATGCAGCCATGGCTTGCAGCACAGGGACTTATTCTGGATTTGGAAACATTAAATAACCATTAAAAATCAAAAACAGCAATATATTTTGAGAAAATCAAATTCTGAGAGCATTTAGCATCAAATCCAATACTTCATAAAATAAAATGACTCAGTAACAAGTATTTGCCAGTTAATATGACTTGAATTTTAAAGTGTGGATCCAACGTACAGAAAACATTTCTAGTGCCAGGTTTTGCGTAAATTACATCTGTTTTTTTTCAGCTGTTTCAAACTTTTTGGTCAAACGTTTCCTCTTTTATCTTGCTTTAAAGTTCTGAAATTAACACTTGAACCTGAGATCTTGCTATTTCGACGTTCGTATCCTCACCTTGCAGATATACCCATCAAGAGAGGCTCTGAAGAAGGCAAAAAAAATGTATGGTCAGTCAATACTGAATACTTTAAAAAATGAAAAACAACTAACATAATCTCACTCAGGCACTCTTTCAAAATCTGCCGTGTACCCTTTGCATTTATAATCCCAGTCAACATTACAGAAGGAGAATTATCATTTAGCAAGTTGAAGATGAGTAAAGATAGACTGACAGTACTGAAAAAAAAAGTTAATTTTAAGTCCCACAGCTCCTACTGTGGACTTGGACATTAATCACAATTAATTAATTTCGTTTAACTTAATGCATGGGTTATTGACTTCACATAGGGAACGTAACTGACAAAAAACAACATACAGATGAATTTAAAGTTTGAAACAAAGTTTGTGTACATCTAGAGATGGTTGAATATGTTATGTTAACACGATTTTGGAGCCTCACCACATCGTATAGTCCATGTCGCCACGTCCAGCCATGCTCTACCTGATGACCATGAATCTTGACAATAGCTTTGCAACGTAGTTTCTACTGCAAAAGATTCCGGCGTAAGGTTGTCATGTTCAAAGCGCACCACTCATCCCTACATGGGTTCCATGATCTATCTAGTGTACGAAGATGAAGATTTTCCAGCACCTGTTTCAACAATGAATTGGACAAAAATCCATAGGCGTTGCGTCCGGAAACTTTATATGAACGTATTCTTACTGAACAAATCACAAAAACGTTGAAGTCTTCAATGTTTCGAAAACGAGTCAACCAATGTTTTAGGAATTTTCTTTAAAAGTTTAGATTTTTTTTAGTATCTGTAGATTAGATTTCTTTGTGCAATCATTATCAACGCATTTCTGAAAATTAAGTCTTAATTCTTATATTTTGTTTAACCTTATAAGCACTTCTTAATATAGTATTTTTGTCTGCAATACCCTTATTACTTACTGTTGTTTTTAATTCCAATGTGATGGTGTTGTTGTTTTGTTTTCATCTAAAAAACGATCCGAAGGATTTAATATTCTGACGTTGAATAGCAGTCACAAGCACAGCACCAGCAAGACTCTTTTCTTGTTACTAAATTGGCTACAGGCAACAATATGAATGCTTATAGGTAATGACATTTGAGGATAAAGTCCTGGACTTCATAATCAGTAAAACAAGTGTCGATTATGACTATATGTACTTCTACATAACCTTGAAATATAAGCACATATCCAATTACAATTTAATTTAAAAACAGTACTGGTAGACTACATCGTCATAAACACGTAGCAAGACTGTGTGTAGTTGTAAATAAATATTGTAATATGTCATGCTTTGGTGAGGTTGGGCTCAAGACCGGAAAGGGTGGCGGGGGCAGAATAACAAATGGGTGCAATTGCCCTGGCATCTCTGATCGAAGGAACCCCTCCACAGACTAAGAGACAAAAAAAATACCATTGTCATTACTGTATATATATATATATACTAGCCGAGTTACACGGCGCTACACGGTGAAAATTTAGATTTGAAATGTATAAATCAGTATTTTTTTCAGCAAATTATTCAGTAAGCAAACAAAAGCTGTGATGTGAGAAATAAAAAAGCATTTAATCAAACAAAGCTTTATTTGAAATTAGAGCGTGTTTGAGCGTGACTTGTTCTTTGAGCCTGAAGTCGTACATCATGTTGCTCCTCTGTTTCTTGATCTCTGTAAGTTATTCGTCTTAATTTTTGTGCTTGAAGTCTGGTTTGACGTTGTTCAGAAGTTTCTTGTTATCGATATCCAGCTTGCCTTGATGATTCTGACTGGACTCTGGCTTTGTGCTGTTCAACAGTTTCTTGCTGTCTTTGAGTAGCTTTTGAGCTCGAAGTCTAACTTTACGTTGTTCCAAAGTCTCTTCCTGTATTTGAGCAGCC